AGTGTTTTATGTCAGGCAGTAGGAACATGTACAAAAATGATACTGCCATTGAATTTGGTAATCCTTTTTATTAAGTGATTAAAAATTTTAAAATAAAACAAGGAAACACTGTAGGTCAAGTGAACGTTAGTATGGGTGTTGCTTGTTATTTTTGTAGTTTTTAAACATGCAGCTGCAATTACTTTCCTTTATTTTAAGCTGTACTCCTATATAGAAGATTGTAATTCTTTTACCACACTTATGTAGTGAATATACTATGTCAAGGATGATACTTTGCGTTTCAGATAGGGAGATTAGGTCTTATATCAGTCATTAACAATGTTGTTTTGAATCTTAAGGCTAGGATTTAGTTAGTTGTAGGGGAAGAGTGCGTATATTTTCATTGTGGGTGGTTTTTGCCCCGTTCTTTGTGTGGGCGAGAACCAATATGAACCATGTTTTCAATGTGATATTCTAGTCATGGATTATATTAAATAGTTACAATAAAACTAGTACGTTATGACGTAGTTAAGACAGTTTGAATTATATGGTTGATGCATTATATGATATTAAATTATGTGGGTGTATATTCTTCCGCTTATACTGGTTGTGTTGTGTGTGTGTGTGTATATTATTATAATAAAAAGATGCGCTAGCCACAAGGACTAGACACCATGTGTGTATTAGGAATGTAAAGTCCATATCTGTTTTCGTATGTACTTTTAATTTTTGTTTTGTTTTGTTTTGTTCATGCATCAAACTTCTGGTAAATTCCCATTAATGAGGTAAGGGTATACCACTAATTGTTAGGTTACTTAGGTATTTCTTAGAACGGTGCATGTAAATATTTTTTGTACTGCACATGGTATTATTATTTATTGCTAAAAGGAGGGGGTTTTGTAGGAATGCTTGGATGTGTAAACTGGTTTGGTTTGTAATATGGCTATCAGCCATAGTGTTATTTTAAGTACTGGGATTGTGTGAGAGGGTATTGTGAATATCAGTATAGTTCTTTTATTAAACTCTTGACATTCTTGTTTTGTTGTAAGTTTTAAATAAAAATTTAAAAAAAAATATCCAACCCTCTTCTCAGCAGTCTCTTAATCATTCCTCGCCTGACCTTTAACGTCAAAATGCTACATTGTATAATCGCCGTTATACTCTGGCTCAGGTACATCTTGCGACAAAGTCTACTGTGCAGGCGAAGCTTGTTTATGTAAGCGTGCATTGTAATGCGATCATGTTTTTTCCAAAAGTCAAATTTGGATAGGCTTGTAAAACAATTAATCACCTCAAACCACTGTGCCAAGGATTAAAGTGAAATATGATTATTATAATGCAATATTAAAAGTAAATTTTTCGTTCGCTTACGAGTTCATTTAACCATAGCGGTTTTCTTTATTTTGCACATCCCCCTCTGCAGCACTGCACGACCCTTTCACTTTAGCTGACTAATATATATATTAACGAGAAGTAAACATACATTTATGCGAGAGTGCTAAATCAGTCATACAACACCGGTGAATGGGAGTCAATTTCGAAGGGGAGAAAAAAAAAAGTAACTGCCTAAAATCAGGAGCCTCCTTCACAGCATCTCGGAACTCGTTACGATGGCATGGTTCAAGTGTGTAAGGCCCACCTCTCTTGTAGGGATGATGCACGAGTCAAATTATCTTAACAGAATCCTTCAAGTAAGGTTATTTTGACGCAGATAAGGGCTCCTGATTCAAGAATGACATTTTCTTCCCCTTTATCGAACCCTTATGTCTCCATTTCCCAAGCGTTGCATAGTAAGCGTTTAGCGTTTTCTTCCCATGTTAATGGGCAAGTTTTCTTATTTGCTCTTTCGTAAATTTAGAAGACTTTTGGAAACATGGTTTGATTTCCCTCACATATACTTGAGGTCTTATTATAATAACCAAAGTGAAAACTGGTCATTTTAAACATATATTACTAAAGTATCATTTATTGGCCTTCAGAATGTAGGAAAATATAAAAAAATAAAAATTGATATTCTCCACAGGAGTTGTCAGCATTTTGATATTTGAACTTATGACCATATATTTATATTAAGTAAGAATTTTATTGGCCTTAAGAAATTAAATATGATTATTCAAAATAAAAACTAGATATATAAAACCTAATTTTACAAAATATAAATCCGTAAAGAATACTCAGGACATATTTGAACTTACTTATCAAGATCTTTTAATAAAAGAAACTACATATATTTAATATTTGGTCATATCCTAAAGAATAATTGCACTAAAAAAACGCAGACAGAATCTATAGCGTGCCATATTAATTGCAATTGAACATTTTTCCGCATTTTTTTCCGTTTAAACTAAATTATAGAATTGAAATTTTATAAAAACTAAGGTAGGCATCTGAGAGTGTTCTGCAATGGTTGGTAGTTGTAGACAACCATGGTGACTCCATTGGTTGGATATAAATGGCTCCACCCAATTTGACGGAGACGTGGACCGTTGGTGTATACCAGGTTCCCACCACGACTACTGTTTGAGGATGTAGACGTATCAGAACCTGAAGAAGCATTGGACCCCACACTTTTCTCTATGCTGCTGTCTACGCTGATAATCTACTACTCTCATGTCTACAATACCTTCCTACACGGGTTCAAGCACAAGAACCTAAGGAATTATCCAATACATTACTGTCAGTGGATGAAATACATATCCTAGATAAACTGTTCCATTCTCAGTCGGTTTATTTTATCAATTGTCGTTCAAATTCTAGAGGCAGATTAGATTTGGGTCATCAGCATTTCTTGCAAAATTCGAATGGCATCATAAAGACGACGTAGTTAGCTAAAAGGACATCACTGGCCAGATGGATCTGGTGCATTGCCAGCATTTTCAGCCAAGTTAATAAAAAAAAAAAGGCTTGTACCTAGTTTGTCGTGTCGAGAACGCAGTCTGTGACCCCGCATGGGTGTTGAATCCCTGCGGCCTTTCTAGGTCATGAACGAAATGGCCAGCGTGTTCCATATTGCTGTTAGCCCTGAATGTGGTACGTGCGGCACAGGGTCAGTTTGTAGCGGGGATAGGGATTGTCGGGAACAGCACGCTGTTCATTAAGCCATGAGCGAATGTGCAAGTGCTTCAATCTGGTGGATAATACAGAGCTATAATATCCATACCAAATATAACTGCAGAGAAAATATGCTTAAAGCACTTAGTGTTTTTAAAGTTATTCGTGAGGTGACAAAGATTTGACTATTAAATTAAGGTTTATCCACAATATAGTTAAAAGTTTGCAAAAATAATAAAAGTTTAAATATTTAAAAACTGAGCAACCAAATGAGTGTTTAATCTGAAGTGCTGGAATTCGTCTATTAAGGAACAGTAAAAATATTTTTTACTGTACCAGGAAGTTCAGACTCTTATTTAAAGGGGTGTAAAATCTTGTTCAGGTAAGCGAACCATGCTTGTTAATACTAGTCACCATTTCACGAAGACGTGTCTTGAGTTCACTGGTTTTACCATACTGATAAACTGTTACATCTTCAACCTATTAATTTAGAGGGCAGCAAAACTCCTGCTCCAATTTATTTTACCTACACCATATTACAGTATATTTATGGGGAAAAAGGGTGCAACCCCTAGTTACTATACAGCACATGGAGTATAGGAGATAACCATGCTTGCTCTAATGAAAGTAGCTTCAATATCATGGATCAATAGCCTTAATACAAGTCATTTTAAATTTCCTGCATACACAACGGACAAATCGGCTAAAATCAAACTGACCTTCCATTCACCATACAAGTAGACCCCGTTCTCCCACCCCTACCTTCAACTAATTTGTCACTTCCTTAATAAAAATTAATACACCATCAGCAGTTGGTTTACACTAAGTTCTACGTACACACACGAGTATATACAATTACATACATACATGTACCCAGCAAAGCCTGCACATATGTAGTGGCAAATGGGATTATAAATTTCTAGTGGGCAAAGGCAAAAGGTATACATTATACTGTGGATGCACTAAATCCATATGGATCATACAGGGGGAGAGACAAGGTCGATTCTGGATCAAGGAGCCCCTTACAAGAAAGGGACCCTACCTTGAGGGGTGTAGTTTGATGTACGCCATCTAAATTTCTCTTCCACCCCCTTTTCCTTTATCTATAAAGTAAATTTCTCTTTCCTCTGTTCCGAGATGGAGATATCCTTATAATGCCATTTTGCCTATGCATAAGAATTCCATCCAGGCTACTAAGTGACTACGCCAGCATAACTAAACAAAACCTCTTAGGTGTCCCTTTTTTGAAGAAACCCTTTAATGGAATACTTTTACATCCCCAGTGCCATAATGAAAATGGGTCTTCCAGCTCAGGCAGACTATTCAAACACAAATGTATGAGCCCCACTGCGCGCATGAGCATGACAGGTTATACTTAGTTACAAATAATTACAAGCTTTTCATAGAAATAGGAATGCAGCGCACTTGCTGGATTCATCCATTAATATTTTTTTTACGTACTAGATAATTTAAAGTCTTGTCAAAACTTTTCAACGGCTCATTATACAAAATATAAAGTGCCTTACTAATATTCTATATTGTATTCAAGTAGGTAGGTTTTTAAATTTGAAAAGCTCTATGTTGATCACAGCGCTCTTGGCAATGAATATAAATACCAACGCCACATTTAAATAACTAGCGTTAATTAAAAGTTCATTAAATTATTAATAAAGAAAAAAATCCACTATCAAAGACCAAAAAAGTAAAAACCCAACTTTTGAGGTGGAGAAAAAAAAAAAAAAGTCCAAAACTTACTTGCAATCTTCATTCTCCTCAAAGCTTCTACACAACTCAGTCTTGTAACGTAAGGGGTTGGATGGCCGAACAGGCATTGGCCGAACACTTCTCTTGCTATTGTTGCAATAGCCATTGCTGTCTGTGCTGCTGGAGGTACCGTTACTATTGTCGGTACTGCTGCTTAAGGCGTGAGTGTCAGTACTGCAGCAACTATTACAGCTTTTGCTACCGCCTTCCTCAGCGCTACCACTATCTTTCCAAAATGAAGTTGACTCAGAAGTTATAAAATGTAAAGGTGTACTCGAGTCTTGCTTTGACAGGCAATCACTATAGTTCCCTTCATTAGTCCGGCTTAATATACACGTAGACCGACTAGAGCAGTGCCTTGGACTAGAATGGCGCACAGGACTGAATCTAGAGAGAGGTCCGAGTCGACGCAGTGGACTGAATTGACGCCTAGGGATGGATCGTCCGTAGTGGCTGGGTCTCTGCCTTATGTTAGTCCTAAGCCGAGGGCTGGGTGGGTGAGGAGACTTCCTAGGGTCAGTTTGATTTATCCTGTTCGAATTGCTCTTGCCAGGAAAAATTGAATTTCCAGCAGAACGGCCCCTCCTACTTCGGTTCCCCATTTAAAACAGTTAACGGAAGCTTGCACCAACCCTGAAATTTTTAGGTCTGTTTAGTTTTCTGGGAGAGAGAGAAAAAAAAAAAAAAAAAAAAAAAAAAAAAAAAAAAAAAAAAAAAAAGCCAAGTGACCCATCTACACTGCATTCATATCCACCCCACATGCCCATCCATTCCAACCATTTAAAATTTCAGTAATTCATTCGCCCACAGCACAGACGGGTATAAAAATAAAATTTATATTTTATTAAAATCCATACATCAAATATAAAATCAAATTGAGAAAGCATTAACACGTCTGTCGTCCAACCAACAACAATATTAACATGCACACATCAGTATTCTGTGTGAAAACAAAACCCCTTTTCCCCATTCTTAGGATACAGACCAAGTAAGACATAATATTAGCCAAACATAATGGAGCTACCTAGCAAAAAACAAACCTATATCATAGTTACAAATATCTATATGTACAAAATCTGTCTGTATAATACATCCACTTGAAATGATTGTACCGCTTACAATAATGCATAATGCGTGACAGACAATAGAATTACAACTGACATAATACACCAGAAAATTTACGATGGGTATCCTAGTGTAGTCATCCCTGACCCCCCCATCCCCCGGCAGGATTCCACTTATCCCCACCCAATTTACTCCCTTACTACTAAAATCTGCTTTCTACCGATCCATACCCTAAATAAATAACAAAAAGGCACAATACCGTGACTGGAACGATACACAAATAACCCGCACATAAAAGAGAAGCTTACGACGACGTTTCGGTCCGACTTGGACCATTGACAGTCACTTTGTCAATGGTCCAAGTCGGACCGAAACGTCGTCGTAAGCTTCTCTTTTATGTGCGGGTTATTTGTGGATCCATACCCTGTAACGAAAGTGACATAGCCATATCATCAGTAAGGCATCAGAGGCATGTATATACAGTACTAGGACAACAGACCACTCCGTAAGAAAACCGCATTATATAATGTACAGCGCACAACATAGGAAAGAAGTGATTTTGAACAAACAGGTTCAGACAATTATCCACACAAAACATCTATATTAAGCATCTCGCTACACACCATGCCTATAATTAAAACAAATCTTCCAGTACACACTGTACGACTTGCAGGTCGCATTACATACGTTGCTGTGACTTATGTACTGACTTAGTATAACCAGCACTAACAGGTACATACAGAATACATCTCATAAAACAATGATTTACAAAACTAACAATGCACGCTATATGCAACCAACACCAGCCTGGGAATTTAAAAATTCACAAACATTACCATTAACCACGGCGTGTTTTCTGCTGGTGATTTTATGTTTCATTGTATTTTTGCCCCCTAAATCTAATGATTGTCACGTAAGAAAGGTGTAAAATTACCAAGGAAATTGGTTTATGAACCTTATCTACAAACAAGGGGAAATCCCCCCCTGCACACCACCTTTTCCTTGGGGAAGTCCCGTAAAGGCACCCTGGAACAAGGTTTACTACCGTAAATGCCACTACATGGCGTAAAGAGAAATTGCTAAAACACTTTATGAGCTTTGGTTACCACCAACCTAACCCCCCCAAAACCCATTCTGGCTTAAAATTTTTTTCCCACCCTTTACAAACATGAACAAAAAAGTCTTCGCTATACAATATGTAAACGTTTACAAAAAACCCACAACACGCAAAATAAAAAACCCCAAACCGGGTTCTGAGACCGCTCCCCCCCCCCCCCCTCCTTTTCAGACTGAAAATCACCCGGCAAGAAACAAACCCCAGCCACACAAAGGGCCACCTCCCTCACCCTACATTACACCCCCTCACCACACCAAATAACACGTCATTCTCGCGAAAAAACCAACTCTCTCCCCCCGGGGGACCAACCCCTTCGCCCCACCGAGGGGTTAAAACCCACCCAACCTCATTCACGAAATGTAATGCACACTGAAACAAACCAACCACGGCGGATTGAACCGCGGTCGAAGGGGCTGGGGTTTTTTAGATGACCGGGGTTCAAACCCGCCCCCTGGGGAGGGTTTTCACCTCATTATCCTGTAACGTTTTCCACGTTAAAACCCCAGCCCCAACGAAAAACTCCGTCCCCCGCTTGCCCATACACCCCTTTCCCCACATTTCGTCCTATAAAAAACGGACATCATGCTCTGACGCGCAAACGCCCCTACCCCATCACCATGAAAATTAAATACCAAAAATGAAAAACCCAAAGAACGTACCCCTGGGGCAATCTCCCTCTCAAGAATCAAAACTAAGCATCGACAAACCCCCCCCCCCCCCACTCTTAGAACCCCTTGAACCAAACCCAACCCTATTTTAAAACCTCACAAAATGACGACGTTTAAGCGTTTTTCCCGGGCCCCCCCACCCCGAACAGCTACCGATCATTCCCATAACGTACAATTGTGCTTTGGACGCCAAAATCCCGTGGACGAAGCGGTAACCAGTTTCCCTAACCTTTGGTTGTAAGCGCAATTTCTTGAGCCACTGCCATATAGTCGTCCAATGATATCCTGGGAAGACCTAATCACCAATGACCTCTCCCGATGTTATACCTATATTGTCTAATTTACCTGCCCTAACTCTCGTAGGGTTATGCACCACCAGTAAGTGCCGTAACAGCGCTTCGCACCTTGTGAGGTCTTTCCCCACCCACCATCGTCGAACCTCCCTCATCACCGCGTCAACCCTCGCTCCCCTGACCCCACCCCTTGTCAAGAATTCCTGTTGTACATATATGCTCATTAGGCGACTGTAGTGGTATTAACCCCAAACCTCCCTTAGCTACTTGCGTCATAACTGTCTTTCCTTGACCAATGCCTACGGTAACCCCCATATGAAATTCAAAGCCCTCCACTGTAACCGCAACACATCGTCCGCCATCAATGGATAGAGCCCTGAAAAACCATAATTTACTATACACCAGTACACTGACAACGATTACTCGTTTGTGTAATGTTACATCACCCGGTCGCCATCCCACCATCCTACGAACTGCGGTTGCTAACCATCTACGAATTAATTGCACGCGCCGCCTGTTCGTCATCGCAAAAATACACACTCATCTTTATTCGCTCAACGGTTCTCCACCCATACTCCTTGCCCAACGTCCCCTCCCCCCACCTAGGACCCCACCTCCAAAAATTTGGATTTTCCTGTATTAATGCGCATGCCAGACGCATCACTAAAAAACCCTATAACCTTATTAACGAACTGCCAAACCATTCCTACTGCGCACCATGATGGTGGTATCGTCCACATAACCTAAAATCTCTACTGCTTCGCCCTGCGCAAAATCCTCCCCCCCTACCCCACCCATTACAAATCTATAAAATGGGTCCTGCAAACAGGCAAACAAAAGCTGCGAGAGGGGACACCCCTGTCGCAGTCCCCACCCCATGCCTATCGGGGACCCCACCCTCCCAATGACCTGGACCCGTACCTGTGCATCTGTATATAACATACGCACCCACGCTACTACTACTACTTCCCCGAAACCCTGCTTCAATAATATTGCTAATAATGTTTCCCTATCCACATTGTCGAAAGTCTTTTCCCAATCTAATCCTATGACCCCGCCTCCACTACAATCCTCCACGAAACTTGAGGCGTCGATGACCATCCCTCATAGTCCGTCCAGGAATCCTGTATTGCCCATCCCATAGGTATAAAATATAGTATTAAACAAAAAAAAAAAAACTATTGTAAGCATGAAATTAATAAAAAATCTAAAATAACTAAAAAATGCTAACAAACCCCAGCTAAATCCTCATTACACGAACAATATGTACCTGATTTAATTTATTATTATAATCAAAAAGAAGCGCTAAGCCACAAGGGCTATACAGCGCTGATACCTGATTTAAGTCCTCGTGCTACAGAGCAAGATATCCAGTCATTCATAACCCTGAGCCCGTAACCAGAAACCATTTTCAACACGAGTAATTAGTATGGCGAGTTTTCCCCGACTACCTTTTCTCATTTATGTACGCGTTAAGTGAAGTCTTTGGAAACTAATTTTTAAAGAATCTCCGAAAATAAGAAATTATTTCAGCTTTAAATGCAATAAAACACAACATACTCTTAGGCACACTTCCTACGCACGGTAAACTTATAAAATTTCATCTGATACACAATCAAAACAGCACCTCCAAGTACTCTCGAGCTCTGAATAACTTTCGCAATGTGCAGTTTCAGCCTGTCACTGAGGAAGTGTATGGATCCAGCCAGATTATAGGGTCTCCATATCAACCCGTGACTACAGGTCTCTTAACTTCTGGACTTAAATAATGGACGACCACAGGGTGAACCGTCATTGCGCCTTGGCTAACAGTTTACTTCGCCTAAGATTGAAACTGACCCACCTAGACTGGCAATTAAATTTTTACCCTGGAATTCTTTTCATCTGGGATGGTGCAGATTTTTTTTTTTTTTTTTATCCAAGTCCAGTCTTTTCAGTAGGCAAGTCACTTAATTTTACTTCCCTACCAATACGTACCTAAATGTGCAAGAAAAATTTCTTTTAGTTTTAAAATCATAAGTAAAATAAAATCGACCACTTGACCCTTACTATATTTGGATTCCTGTTTCCAGCAGTTCTTTCTCCACTACAAAGACTGACCGTCGAGATTGCTGCTACGAGCTGCACATATGCTAGTACACTATCAACAGCACTGGTTTCCCTGTAACAAAATGTTTGTCAAAACAGTTTGAAAATACATGTAATTTAACTGATAAAAAACACAATTATAGTATACAGCACTAACAAATTCCATTATATTAATTAGGAAGTTGAGAGATTCGAAGAAATATTTAACCCATGAGCAATAGGTACACATACAAGGTTGGCACAAAGTGGGTAACCCTTTTGGGCTTAAAGAAGCCACCTTACATATTCTATTATACAGACAGCAGTAGTGTCAAAGTTTTTAATTAGAAGCCTAGTAGTCCCGTGGTAAAACGCTGAACCTGCTGCCATTTGGAACTGCGCTTCGAATCCCCGTCCATTCTTCTGTTTATTCAGTCATCTACTACGACTTTTCTAACTCAGGGAAGAAAATATTAAGGGAATGTATTAATACTGGTTAGCAAACAGTTTTTTTCAAAACTATTAAAATTACCTAAAATTTCTTAAGTTATTTGACAATTATATAAACACTAATTGCACTAGTTTGCAATTAGAGCTCTGTATTTATCTGAAATAAGTTCATAAACTAAATAAAAGAGGGAGTTGTCTGCATTAATTTTGTTTCTTGTAAGATACAAGACTTATTAATTCAAAAATACTACTGAAGAATTCAAATTCTGAAATATAAAAATGACTTTAATCATAATTTTTAGATACAGTTTACCCCCCCCCACACTTTCATTTTTGTTAAATCAAAGAACCCAGTTTTTTTTATTATTATTAATGTAGGTATTATGATTCCACAGCTTGTGTAACATTCATTCATTTAAGGTTCAGGAACACCCACTAAGTGTCGCCACAGTAATGCCTAGATAAGTTTCATCTGTACAAGATAGTAACTTTGGGCTTTGAAAAGTAACTATTTTGCATACCAATTGACAATTACAATATAAAGCTACACTAAAATAAAATTTACACTGCATTAACATTATCTGTAGGTTTACTTCACAGGTAACATTCTTAAAACGTTTAATCTTTTCTTTTTCATTATTTGTTTTCCATTAAACTGAGTGGTACTGATCTGATGGTGTACTTTGAGCATTAATTGAAATTTTTCACATATTAAGCAGCAACCACAGTGCCTGTAACCAGGAAGTAATTAGCCTTATTTTTCATACCTTAAGTGTTTAATAACTATTATTATAATAAAAAAAAGCGCTAGGCCACAAGGGCTATACAGTGCTGTTGAATAACTAAACATTCTTACTCTTAATAAAATTAAACTTACCGACATGCGTTCAGAAAGTTAAGACATTTATGGTTGCAAATAGCATGATAGATAAGCTAGGGATCAAAATACTATTGTATATTTCAATATATTAAAAAGGAACTTTTGTCATGAGTTATCAATCCAGTCCAAATACAAAAAGCTATAACAGTGTTCATACAGTAATGGAGAGAGCTTCAAAGTTAACTGGCTGTCAACTATATAATGCCCCCCCCCCTTGCTTTTTCAACTTCTGTATTAGAACTGATGATGTCATTGGATATATGTACACTGTATTTAGAAGACGGGAAGGATTGTGAGGATTGTCAATATATGTATTAATTCTTATGTAAATTTCATGGAACTCAGGGTGATAATAATGTACACCTATTAGTCGGATGATAAGTATTGATATTATGCTTATTGTAATATAATTTGATTGATGAAATGTATAATCTGGTTTTTAGCTTTGGAGTAGAAGAGATAAAAAGCATAGGGGATAGGGGATATTTTGTAAGCACAAAGATGAATCAGCAGTATGTATTTAGAAAATGTAACAATTTTATTTTTCTGTGGCGGAGACAAGGGGTTCTCATATTCCTTTATGTTATTGTACTTTAATGTATTTTTAAATTCAATGACTGATGGAGGTTATGAGTGGTGACGGCAGACACAGTTACTAGGCATGTGGGGGGGGGGGGGTGAAGAGTCAGCGGTAGTGTATTAAATCCACCACCGTGCACGATATTGATTGTTATCATGGGGTATATGAGGGTTAGGGTGTGGATTGGTTTCTTTGGTGGATGTGTGCCATCATGTTCAGACTTTTCTTGTATTATAGTCAGCCTTTTAGGTGGCTGGATTGTGTTTATACATGTTGTCAATGATGTCCTTAATGCTCTAATAAATGTATAAGATGTCAATGAGTATACTCAGGTGAAAGTGGTATGTTTTTCAAGGGGGGGGGGAGTGTAAGCATTACTAGGTAGGACTATCGTTTTTATTATAAGACCATCTTTTCACGTGAAGCACAGTACATAAAGTGTTTGATTGGAGTGCAGCAGCCAATTCTGATGTCATTATATAAGTGCTTCTTTGGTATTTGTGTAGTCACTGCAGATTATCGTTTTACTGCCTGTATCTTGTTACATATTGATTATGTACCCATATATTTTTTGTACCTGAGTTTTAAGTAAAATATAAAAAAAAAAAAAATAGAACTGATGCAGCAACTCCTTCCAAAGCTTCTACTTTTACATTTCCTGATGTGTATGAGTCTTTACCCTACGAAGTTTTTATAAATTTTCTTACCATATCTCGAACATTGACTCGCTATAATCCAGTAGTAGACGTAATTAAAAAAATTACGCCAAAAACCTGTTCTCGCCCTGAATCGCTGGAATTTTTTACCATGGGAATCAAATGTTGTACTAACTTTATCAGGCCCTGATCCACCGGGAAGCCTGGTCGTGGACCGGGCCGCGGGGGCGTTGATCCCCGGAATACCCTCCAGGTCGACGGCTCTCAACCTACGCCCGGGTTCAATTATGGGAGTAAAAACATGACAAACCTACTTACTCCCGTTTTCCCCCTACTTACCTAGTAAATATGTACACTTGAAAAGACTGTTGTGGGCGGCATCCTGATGGGAAGGTGTCCAAGGTGGGGCTAGGCTTTGAAACAAGCCGGGGTAGTATAACAGCTCAACCTGTTCATAAAAAAAAATATATATATATACATAGCCTAAAATTCTTACAAATTTTAGATATGCCGTCTCAGTAATATCATTGGACTCATTATAATAAAGAAGCGCTAAACCTACAAGGGTCATACAGCGCACTCAAAAATATTTAGGGAAAGCTCTTACCCATAGGGATCATACATAGCCTAAGATATGGAGACAAACAGGTGTGGATTAATGAAGGGAAGGACAGGCTCAGTTCCTTGGATCAAGAGCGCTTACCAACTTCAATGAACTTCCATCGAGGGGTAGCAGTGCTGTATGTTTACAAAAAAAAAAATTGACAAGACTGAGAAAATTGTTAAATGATGGCCCAGGGGAGCAAGGCTACCCTTGTGCAAGGGTCTCAGAAAGGCCGGGGGAATATAGGGGTTAGTTAGACGAATAAAATCCTGTACGAAAGCTTTCACTAGGTTAAAACCATGGATATTGGGGGAAAGTTTTAGCACACAAGACATAAGCTTAAGGTAGAAGGGGATAGCTGATTGCTGCCTTAGAGCAGACTTAGTATGAAATTCAAATTTTATATATTTAGAGGGTGCTAAATCCGTAAGGACCACACAGCGCCTATAGAATGGGAAGGAATCAGACTCGATCCAAGGGAAAGAATAATTCCTTGAAGCAAGAGTCCCTCATAGGCATCAAGGGATTTCCTTTAAGGTGCATTTAATAAGTCACGTGTAGCTAATGTAGGTCTAATAACTACATAACTAAGTGCTAAACCCACAAGGGTCATACAGCACTGCATGTCTAGTAACAACTAATCACTAGGGATTAGTCTGACAAAATACAAGTTTTATCACATCCGGTAGTGGAGCGCTAACCTGTAGGGGTCACACAGTGCTTGAGGGAACAGGAGGTAATCAGGTTCAATCCAAGGAAAGTGAGGACAGTTTCAATTCCGTGGATCAAGAGCACATCACCGGGAACAAGGATCCTCCCTCTATGGGTGGGGGTAGGGGGGGGAGACTAGGAATTAAAAATGTGAATACAAAGCTACAAAAGTCCCAGTACCTTAATAACTGACCTTTTGAAAGTTAAAATATACTTTTTAACCTTTCAAAAACCAGTGAGCCTTAATAAGCATGACTAATTCAGAATACTTAAAACAACCATTTCACTAAGTAAGCAACTACCATATTTAACACTAATAAACAACTTTATGCCTCCAAGTATCACTTACAACTATACAGCAAGCAATTCCCCAAATTATCATAAAACCTACATCTCGTAAAAACAGAAAATGAAAAAAAATAGAGAAAAAAAAAAAAACATTACCTCATGATACATCCACCTCTCTCACGTCACTTGTACCAACTGACGCGACATCTGGATCTATTAATATTTATACCGATGCTTAGATTCCCGCCTCACTTGTCCCAATCCTCTCATCAACAATACTCTATATATCTCTAACATAATTATGGATCAAAGCCACTACATACATATGTAATGAGTATCGTTTATATTATCTTAATGGAGTAATTTGTTATTTGTTGTTTTTACACAAACATATTACCTTACAAAGGTTATGTAGATGTGAGTTTTTAAAGATTGTAGGCATACAAACACACTGAGAAAGGCGGGAACTTTAAAGTTGTCATCATATAGGCAGGGAATCATTGTAAGTTTATTTAGGCACAGGTACTTATACGTACAATTATTATTCATAGTGTAAGTTACCTAGGATAACCCGAGAAAAAAAAATCAAAGTGGTTTATTTCCACTGAGATCCATGATGAATAATTAATATACAAGATTAGAACTTTCACGGCGCGCATAACGGAGATAAAACACCTCAATTACTGGGAGCGCTTGAGGTTTCTAAACCTGTATTCCCTGGAACGCAGGAGGGAGAGATACATGATTATATACACCTGGAAAATCCTAGAGGGACTAGTACCGAACTTGCACACGAAAATCACTCACTACGAAAGCAAAAGACTTGGCAGACGATGCAACATCCCCCCAATGAAAAGCAGGGGTGTCACTAGCACGTTAAGAGACCATACAATAAGTGTCAGGGGCCCGAGACTGTCCAACTGCCTCCCAGCATACATAAGGGGGATTACCAACAGACCCCTGGAAGTCTTCAAGCTGGCACTGGACAAGCACCTAAAGTCAGTTCCTGATCAGCCGGGCTGTGGCTCGTACGTTGGTTTGCGTGCAGCCAGCAGCAACAGCCTGGTTGATCAGGCGCTGATCCACCAGGAGGCCTGGTCACAGACCGGGCCGCGGGGGCATTGACCCCCGAAACTCTCTCCAGGTAAACTCCAGGTAATAATACAGAGCAATGATTTCCTCTGATAAAAACAAATATATTGTTATTAACATCAGGAGAGAAATACAGAATGTTAACACTGGAAAGTGGAGTTGTACGGTATACCAATGGACCCCCTGGCTGTCTTCATGACCCCTGTCTTCATGACCCCTGGCTGTCTTCATGACCCCTGGCTGTCTTCATGACCCCTGGCTGTCTTCATGACCCCTGGCTGTCTTCATGACCCCTGGCTGTCTTCATGACCCCTGGCTGTCTTCAAGACCCCTGGCTGTCTTCATGACCCCTGGCTGTCTTCATGACCCCTGGCTGTCTTCATGACCCCTGACTGTCTTCATGACCCCTGGCTGTCTTCATGACCCCTGGCTGTCTTCATGACCCCTGGCTGTCTTCATGACCCCTGGCTGTCTTCATGACCCCTGGCTGTCTTCATGACCCCTGACTGTCTTCATGACCCCTGGCTGTCTTCATGACCCCTGGCTGTCTTCATGACCCCTGGCTGTCTTCATGACCCCTGACTGTCTTCATGACCCCTGACTGTCTTCATGACCCCTGACTGTCTTCATGACCCCTGGCTGTCTTCATGACCCCTGGCTGTCTTCATGACCCCTGACTGTCTTCATGACCCCTGACTGTCTTCATGACCCTGCTGTCTTCATGACCCCTGACTGTCTTCATGACCCCTGACTGTCTTCATGACCCCTGACTGTCTTCATGACCCCTGGCTGTCTTCATGACCCTGACTGTCTTCATGACCCTGGCTGTCTTCATGACCCCTGACTGTCTTCATGACCCCTGGCTGTCTTCATGACCCCTGGCTGTCTTCATGACCCCTGACTGTCTTCATGACCCCTGACTGTCTTCATGACCCCTGGCTGTCTTCATGACCCCTGGCTGTCTTCATGACCCCTGGCTGTCTTCATGACCCCTGGCTGTCTTCATGACCCCTGGCTGTCTTCATGACCCCTGGCTGTCTTCATAACCCCTGACTGTCTTCATGACCCCTGGCTGTCTTCATGACCCCTGGCTGTCTTCATGACCCCTGGCTGTCTTCATGATCCCTGACTGTCTTCATGACCCCTGGCTGTCTTCATGACCCCTGACTGTCTTCATGACCCCTGGCTGTCTTCATGACCCCTGGCTGTCTTCATGACCCCTGGCTTCCTTCATAACCCCTGGCTGTCTTCATGACCCCTGGCTGTCTTCATGACCCCTGGCTGTCTTCATGACCCCTGGCTGTCTTCATGACCCCTGGCTCTCTTCAAGACCCCAGGCTGTCTTCATGACCCCTGGCTGTCTTCATGAACCCTGGCTGTCTTCATGACCCCTGGCTGTCTTCATGAACCCTGGCTGTCTTCATGACCCCTGGCTGTCTTCATAACCCCTGGCTGTCTTCATAACCCCTGGCTGTCTTCATGACACCTGGCTGTCTTCATGACCCCTGGCTGTCTTCATAACCTCTGGCTGTCTTCAAGACCCCTGGCTGTCTTCATGACTCCCGGCTGTCTTCAAGACCTCTTGTTGTCTTCAAGACCCCTGGCTGTCTTCAAGACCCCTGGCTGTCTTCATGACCCCTGGCTGTCTTCAAGACCCCTGGCTATCTTCAAGACCCCTGGTTGTCTTCAAGACCCCTGGCTGTCTTCAAGACCCCTGGCTGTCTTCATGACTCCCGGCTGTCTTCAAGACCTCTTGTTGTCTTCAAGACCCCTGGCTGTCTTCAAGACCCCTGGCTGTCTTCAAGACCCCTGGCTGTCTTCATGACTCCCGGCTGTCTTCAAGACCTCTTGTTGTCTTCAAGACCCCTGTTGTCTTCAAGACCCCTGGCTGTCTTCATAGACCCCTGGTTGTCTTCAAGACCCCTGGCTGTCTTCAAGACCCCTGGCTGTCTTCAAGACCCCTGGCTGTCTTCAAGACCCCTGGCTGTCTTCAAGACCCCTGGCTGTCTTCAAGACCCCTGGCTGTCTTCAAGACCCCTGGCTGTCTTCAAGAACCCCTGGCTGTCTTCATGACTCCCTGGCTGTCTTCAAGACCTCTCTGGGCTTCAGACCCCTGCTGTCTTAAGACCCCTGGCTGTCTTCATGAACCCTGGCTGTCTTCAAGACCCCTGGCTTCTTCATGACCCCTGGCTGTCTTCATGACACTGGCTGTCTTCATGAACCTCTGGCTGTCTTCAATGACCCCTGGCTGTCTTAAAGACCCCTGGTTGTCTTCAAGAACCCTGGCTGTCTTCAAGACCCCTGGCTGTCTTCATGACCCCTGGCTGTCTTCATGACATCTGGCTGTCTTCATGAACTCTGGCTGTCTTCATGACCCCTGGCTGTCTTAAAGACCCCTGGTTGTCTTCAAGAACCCTTGGCTGTCTTCATGACCCTTGGCTGTCTTCATGACCCCCTTGGCTGTCTTCAACACTCTGCCTGTCTTCATTTCAGAAGCTGCTGACTGGCACTGTTAAAAGCCATGGATCTGCTTCAATGACCTTGTGTGTTTTATGACGCGTGTTTATGGACGTGGTGCAGCAAAACTCTGGCTTTGAAACCTGGATCCACACAATACCTGAAGCCGCGGTTGTCGTCGTCGTTGACTCGGAATACACCTCCTGGTAGTGAGAACCTATTGCCTAACCAGCGGGTTGACCCCAATCTCCTCTCATTATGTTTTCTGAAACTGCTCTCCCATCTACCCTTACATTTTATTTATCAAAACTGTGACTAGCATAAATTAACTGTAGTTTAAACATACAGCATGGATTTGGGCTCTAATACACAATTTTGTTTAGATATATATTTATTTTATGAGAGCAGAATGTAGTAATATGGGAATCAGTGAAGCAGACAAACATAGAGATGGCTGAAATGGTCCAGAACGGAGATTTCACTGAAATCTCTTGAAAACAGGTTTTGATCAGTCTTCTCAGTCGACATTCAGGAATATCACCTTGTGTAGCGGCAACACAAGTTGCTAAGCCACTTGATTAGAGCAGTTTTCTCACATTTAGAGATAATTTCTAACATTTAATTCTTATTTTATCCTAATTTTCTTAGAATGGTGATCCAAGGAGTGACAGGTACCCTCCCCATCCTCAGATCAAACCTGATCACCTTCCATTCTCCAGGTGCTGTACAAGAACTACGAGTTGAAGACTCGTGTGGCGCCTGATGATCATTACGTCCAACAATATTCACTGAGAAACGGCAAAAATCACGCACAAATTTAATTATATATAAATCGAAAAATGCGTTTTTGAATACATTTACGAGAAGCGCTAAACCTATAAGGGCAATGTAGCACCAGGGGTAGCGAGAGGCAATTACATTCGATCCAAAGGGGGGCAAAAGAAATTCCTTGGATCAAGAGCCTCTCATCTGATAGGCATCACAGATTCACGTCAGATGATCCCCGCCCATCAGTGGCGTTGCTGGAGGGGCAGCAGGGGGAGCGCCGCTCCACATGACCACAATTTTCAGAAGTGCCGCCTTTTCAGCCATTTTTTTAACCCTTTAGTTCACTTGTGCAGCGCTGAATGACTCTAGTGGGTTTAGCGCTTCTTTTTTATTATAATAATAATGACAATTTAATTCATTTGTGCTGTAAATCGAATCTCATTTTTTTTAATGGGCTTTGAAAAACTTTCTGGGCTCATTATTTTATTCGACCAGCCTCCCGGGGTTTCGAACTCTATAATGAATTTAAAATTATTCGGAGCGTGTCATGGTGCCTTTTTTTTTTCTTTGCTGGCTCCCCCTAACTTTAGAACCTGGCTACGCCACTGCCGCTCACACCAATGAAATCCATGTACTATAAGTCAACATTCCTCTCTTGCTGAAGAGGACCTTGATTAGAGGACGAAATAATACAACTTTTTTATTTACTGTCTCAAATGTATATCTATGTTTCTATTGCAGACAAATGAAACAAAAACAATAATGGTGAAAAAAAAACTAAATGGTTATAATTGACCATAATTTTTAAAGGGGTGAACCGGTAAGCCAGCGGAAGTCCTCGGTTAGATGACCAAAACCTCCTACGTCAGGAAACACTTGTCCTGTTACCTGACGAACCTTACCTAACCTAATGATGAAAAAGAAATACGCGCAGAAAGGAGCATCACCAGAACATTTCGCCAGGTAAACAGTCCTCTTCGGTTACTGACTGAAGAAAACTCTTTCACAGACATAACTTCTCAGTAATTTCCTCTCTGTAAATGTGATATTTTACCTCCCTGTTTCCACTGACTAGTGTTCATTGCGCAACCAATAGTAATTAGTATTAATTACACTATTAATATTATTCTGAGAACATAAAAACTTGGCGGATGCAATGAAAGGGGAACTTTTTTTAATGTATAATTGTAGCGTAGCAAAGAATTTAAACAATTAACAAAATGCAACAGCAAAAAGGTAACATGTAACAAGGCTAGCAGGTAATGTGAAGATATAGGCTCAAAAGGCAGCTCACAAGGCAGCTCACAAGGCAGCTCACAAGGCAGCTCACAAGGCAGCTCACAAGGAGCCAACTCACATCAGTTGATCTTCAGCAGCTGGACAGTAAAGATGAGAGTCGCATCTGTAAGTGTAATACAATTTAATGAGTTAAAATGCAAAAAAAAAAATGTTTTCTGGCATTTACAGTACATATATCAGCTGTTGATGTATTCAAACAGAAAAAACTCAGGTGTTTATGTTTAGTTTAAAGTCTTTAATGTGGAATTTTTGAGGGCTCATCATTGTGTGTGTGTGTGTGTATATATTATATATATATATATATATATATATATATAGTATATATATTATTATATATATATATATATATATATATATAAATATATATATATATATATATATATTGGCCAAACATTCACAAAAATACAACAGAAAGTAAAACAACATAGGTAACTCAGAGCTTCATCTCGGACACTTCGTCCAGCTCCCCTGCGGTGGGCCACGTGCCCAGAATGCTGCAGGCATTTCCTCTCTGGATCGCAACACTGAGTCTCTGAAAGACGAAGCTGGTCGCCCTGTGGTCCTTGGTTTCTATGATGAGCTTTTCACCCAGCTCTTTGAGGAACTTTAGAGCACACTTGCCCCATGCTCCAAGGGTCTCCGACCCTATTGGAATGAAGTTATAGTAAGGGGAAAGGTCTTCATATTTTCGGATCTTCTGGGTCTCCCTGTGGCTGGCAGCTCCACCCCCTTCCACTACGGAGTATGGCAAGTAGGTGTCTGCCAATGTGGCGGCACAGGTGCAGTCCCAGGCAATCTGCTTTCCATTCTTCCAGAGTAGCATATATATTATATATATATTATATATATATATATATATATATATATATATATATATATATATATATATATATATATATAATATAATTGATGAGGGGAAAAAAGGTGAGTGGTGCGTTGAGGTATATGTGGAGACAAAAAACGTTATCTATGGAAGCAAAGAAGGGCATGTATGAAAGTACAGTAGTACCAACACTCTTATATGGGTGTGAAGCTTGGGTTGCGAATACAGCAGCGAGGAGGCGGTTGGAGGCGGTTGGAGGCAGTGGAGATTTCCTGTCTAAGGGCAATGTGTGGTGTAAATATTATGCAGAAAATTCGGAGTGTGGAAATTAGGAGAAGGTGTGGAGTTAATAAAAGTATTAGTCAGAAGGCTGAAGAGGGTTGTTGAGGTGGTTTGGTCATTTAGAGAGAATGGATCAAAGTAGAATGACATGGAGAGCATTTAAATCTGTAGGGGAAGGAAGGCGGGGTAGGGGTCCTCCTCGAAAAGGTTGGAGGGAGGGGTAAGGGAGGTTTTGTGGGCGAGGGGCTTGGACTTCCAGCAGGCGTGCATGACCGTGTTCGATAGGAGTGAATGGAGACGAATGGTATATGGGACCTGACGATCTGTTGGAGTGTGAGCAGGGTAATATTTAGCGAAGGGATTCAGGGAAACTGGTTATTTTTATATAGCCGGACTTGAGTCCTGGAAATGGGAAGTACAATGCCTGCACTCTAAAGGAGGGGTTCGGGATATTGGGGGGATATGTTGTGTATCTTTAAACGTATATGCTTCTAAACTGTTGTGTTCTGAGCACCTCTGCAAAAACAGTGATTATGTGTGAGTGAGGTGAAAGTGTTGAATGATGATGAAAGTATTTTCTTTTTTGGGATTTTCTTTCTTTTTGGGTCACCCTGCCTCGGTGGGAGACGGCCGACTTGTTATATATATAAAATATATATATATATATATATATATATATATTATATTTTATATATATATATATATATTTTAATATATATATATATATATAGGTCGTGCCCAATAGGTAAAACTTGCTATTTTGGCTTAAATAGCAACGCTCTTCTTGCCGAATAATTCAAGCGAAAATCTGTGTGTGCAATAATTTCGGAAAAATCATTCTGAACCTAACGAAAAAGATATATTTCATTATTTGTTTATTATTAAATTATTGTAAACTTATTTAAAATATATTTAGTTGTGTTACGCTAAATTAAATTGTTCTTGTTATAATAAGGTTAGGTAAGTTTGCTACTGATCTTCTAGTACAAAATTATTAATTTTTACATTAACATAAATGAAAAAAATATATCTCTAAACTTATAAGAGAAAATTTCAGAAAGGACTTAATTTTAAATGAGTTCTTCCTAATTGACCAGTTTTACCTATTCGGCACGACATATATAAATATATTAGGCAAAAAATCGCGAACAAGCAATACACCTGGAGTTTTACCTGGAGAGAGTTCCGGGGGTCAAAGCCCCCGCGGCCCGGTTTGTGAACAGGCCTCCTGATGGATTAGAGCCTGATCAACCAGGCTGTTACTGCTGGCTGCACGCAATCCAACGTACGAGCCACAGCCCGGCTGATCAGGAACCGACTTTAGGTGCTTGTTCAGTGCCAGCTTGAAGACTGCCAGGGGTCTGTTGGTAATCCCCCTTATGTATGCTGGGAGGCAGTTGAACAGTCTCGGGCCCCTGACACTTATTGTATGGTCTCTTAACGTGCTAGTGACACCCCTGCTTTTCATTGGGGGGATGTTGCATCGTCTGCCGAGTCTTTTGCTTTCGTTGTGAGTGATTTTCGTGTGCAAGTTCGGTATTAGTCCCTCTAGGATTTTCCAGGTGTATATAATCATGTATCTCTCCCGCCTGCGTTCCAGGGAGTACAGGTTCAGAAACTTCAAGCGCTCCCAGTAACTGAGGTGTTTTATCTCCGTTATGCGCGCCGTAAAGGTCCTCTGTACATTTTCTAGGTCAGCAATTTCACCTGCCTTGAAAGGTGCTGTTAGTGTGCGGCAATATTCCAGCTTAGATAGATCAAGCGACCTGAAGAGTGTCATCATGGGCTTGGCATCCCTAGTTTTGAAAGTTCTCATTATCCATCCTGTCATTTTTTCTAGCAGATGCAATTGATACAATGTTATGGTCCTTGAAGGTGAGATCCTCCGACATGATCACTCCCAGGTCTTTGACACAGGTTTTTCCCTATATTTTGTGGAAGGAATTTGTTTTGTACTCTGATGAAGTTTTAATTTCCTCATGTTTACCATATCGGAGTAACTGAAATTTCTCATCGTTGAACTTCACATTGTTTTCTGCAGCCCATTGAAAGATTTGGTTGATGTCCGCCTGGAGCCTTGCAGTGTCTGCAGTGGAAGACACTGTCATGCAGATTCGGGTGTCATCTGCAAAGGAAGACACGGTGCTGTGGCTGACATCTTTGTCTATGTCAGATATGAGGATGAGAAACAAGATGGGAGAGAGTACTGTGCCTTTTGGAACAGAGCTTTTTACCGTAGCTGCCTCGGACTGTACTCTGTTGACTACTACTCTTTGTGTTCTGTTTGTGAGGAAATTATAGATCCATCTACCAACTTTTCCTGTTATTCTTTTAGCACGCATTTTGTGCGCTATTACGCCATGGTCACACTTGTCGAAGGCTTTTGCAAAGTCTGTATATATTACATCTGCATTCTTTTTGTCTTCTAGTGCATCTAGGACCTTGTCGTAGTGATCCAGTAGCTGAGACAGAGAGGAGCGACCTGCTCTAAACCCATGTTGCCCTGGGTTGTGTAACTGATGGGTATCTAGATGGGTGGCGATCTTGCTTCTTAGGACCCTTTCAAAGATTTTTATGATATAGGATGTTAGTGCTATCGGTCTGTAGTTCTTTGCTATTGCTTTACTGCCCCCTTTGTGGAGTGGGGTATGTCTTTTGTTTTTAGAATTGGAAAACCCCCCCGTTCCATGCTCCTCTCCTAGGTGGGTAAAAGCTCGTAAAGGGGGCTTCTTGAGTTTTTGAGAAACGGAGTTCCATGATTTGGGCCCGGGGGCGAGTCAGGGGCATCCCTTTTATCGCCTGTTCAAAGTATTTGGCTCAGGAAAATATCAGATGGGTTTGTTTTAAAGAATTTCTGTGGCTCTCAAAAATCATTTAGTCTTTGACTCTCAGTTGGTTAGGGGGTTGCTAAAAACTAAGTCATTTTGGGGATTTGAGTAGCCACTCATTTCCTTGCTGCATCTGTGTAGGCCCCATCTTGTTTAAGTGGGGGCCCAATACTGTATTTGTTCTCGATTTGTTTTGGCATAAAAAAAAAAAAATATTTGGGTTCCCTTTTACTTCATTTATGGTTTTTATTTTCTTCCCGCGTTTCCCTGACTCCTATAAAAATTCCCTTTAGCTTAAGTTCGATGCTTGTATTTCTCTGACCATGATCCCTACGCATTTCAGAAAATTTTGGGCCCTTTTTTTAGCCGTCTGGTGTTTTTTTTCGTCGCCTGTAAAGGGAACGCTGTCTCTTTCTATTTTACTTACTCCTCCTTTTTCTTAAAGGAATAAACCTTTAGCATAAAGAAAACCTTGAGCATCATCGGTGCACCGAGTTAATCTGTTTAGGCATAAGTTGGGGTCTGTGTTGCTTAGTCTATCTTTCCCCCTTTTATCGTTTAGGACTTGGTTTAATTGGGCCTACTTTATGTTCTTGTTATTGAAGTTGAATTTGGTGAAGGCTCCCTCATGACTAATCTCATTTTGTCGGTCTGGGGCTCCGCGCATACATGTCTGAACCTCGATTATGTTGTGATCTGAGTATATTGTTTTTGATATGGTGACATTTCGTATCAGATCATCATTATTAGTGAAGATGAGGTCTAGTGTATTCTCCAGTCTGGTAGGCTCTATTATTTGCTGGTTTAAGTTGAGTTTTGTGCAGAGATTTAAAAGCTCGTGTGTGTGTGAGTTCTCGTCAGAGCTGCCTCCTGGTGTTATCACTGCAACAAAATTATTTGCTATATTCCTCCATTTTAGGTGCCTCAAGTTGAAATCCCCCAGGAGCAAGATGTTGGCGGCAGGAGCTGGCGGATTTTCCAGACAGTGGTCAATTTTTAACAGCTGTTGCTGGGACGTTGCATCCGGAGGCTTGTAGACTACCAAAATGACTAGGTTTTGGTTCTCGATCTTTACTGCTAAAACTTCACTACATCATTTGAGGCATTAAGCAGTTCTGTGCAAACAAGTGACTCTGCGATATACAGACCAGCGCCCCCCCCCCTTTTGCC